CTATGCTAACATAGTTTGTTTACTTATCCCAGGAGTGATCAATACTCAATATCTGAGACATACCAAGGGAAATATGACGAATGCAAATAATTTGAGGGAAAATTCATGTAATCTTTTGCCTTCATCAAAACAGCAATAAATCATAGACTGACGCTAGAATCAAACCACCTTTGATAACAATTTTTTTGGATTTCTTTTCTGGGCCTTAGCGTGGGAGCAAATTAACTAAAAGTAACACAGCTTAACTCCTCTCCTTTCTCGACTAATTTGTAATTTACTTTCTTTTTTTTTTCTTTTTTTTTTTGTTGTTGATTTCTTTTCAGTCTATTTTCTGGAGGTTTTTGTCTTTCTTTCTCATTTTGCTCGTCGCTAGCTATTCGCATTTTTATATTAGTCTTTTCATATTACTTTTATCAATAGTATTCTCTATTTCACACAGATTCAACCCTTTCACCGAAATTTTGAATTATTAAAAAAAAATTCATTTGACGTAGCTCTCGCTCTGACTATTATTGCTGTGCAAGTTAATTAGAAGATGCAAAATACTTAGAATCGATACGTTTCAAATTAGATTCTAGATTTCTGTCTATCTGTCTATTTTCTGTCTATTTCTTGTTGTTTTCCGTTGAAGATAATGGATCATTTATCAATCAGTCACCTGAAATGGGAATGCATATGGTTAAATTACCAACTTGTTTTTCTTAGAACTAAACTTTTAAAACTCTTCGTTGCTTCAATAGCCAGCCATAGCCACTGTCACGCTGCGACCTTAAACTCACTCTACTTGTCTGAAAGGAAAATCTCCTTGAAAAGAATATTCGATTTGACCGAGAACGTGTTGCTATTTTGGTCTTTGTTAAAGTGCAGATGAGTCGAGCCTGGGAACGAGTAATAGAGCAGTCACGTCATCGGTTGTGTTGGTGATGTTGTTCCCTGTGATCAAGCCGTTGTTTTGAGTTATTCTACTTGTCGTTTACGAGCTAAATATGTCGGAAACCGATCACAGCGATCAAGGGTTCTCTTGTACATCATCTGAGGATGATGTAGAATCATTCTCAAGTTCTGAAGAAGTCAGCACAGGCATCATGGGCGAGATAGTTGCTTACCAAGACGAACTTTGGCGAACTCCAATGAGAGTGACAGCAACGGACAAGAAGAGGAATGACGAGGATGAAGATGGCTTATCTTCTGCCACTTTATCGCGAAGATTTGAGAAAACGGAACCCGCCAGTACGTGATAAGTGTGTCTTACCTTGTTCTAATGCACCCTGTTTGTATACGCTAAAGCTAAAACGAAACATGATGGTGAATTTACAACCAACCTTAGGGATGCTCTTGCATCCGGCCTTTCAATAGCACTCGGAAAATTAGCTTTTATCTTTTTTCTACTTGAGAACGAGATAAGCTCACCATGGTTTTAATTTTCATCAGGTGTTCCTTTACCCAGTGCAGTGATGCTATGCTGGTATCAGCTCGCGAGTTTAGGTGCTGCATGGAGGCGGACTGTGCACGTGGAAAACTTACATTTGATGGAAGTATTGAACGGATATCGTGCATCTCGTGTCTGAATTCAAGAGGCAGAAGTTTAAGCGTTACAAGTCGCTCTGTGTAAGAAATATCTGATGATGGATAGTCAAGTATGAATTTTGTTGCTCGTCGTTGAACATTCTCTATCAGGTTTATGTAATTAGCCATGTATGGTGACCAAACGTTACTTACGTATTCTAAATGGGGTCTAATCAATGAACAATACAGCAGCTTTCTTGTCTCAGTATCATAGATATCTCTACAAACACGCTTTACAAGTCCTAGCAGTTTGTTGGCCTTTGTGCAAACTAGTTCAATGTGCGTTTTCCATGACAAATCCGTACGAACAGTTACACCTAAGTCTTTTGTTTGACTTGCGGGTTCAAGAGCATTACCAGCTAGGTAGTATGTGTGTTCAGTAGGGTTGCGTTTCTTTGACATTTGAAGAACTTTGCATTTAGAGGTACTAAATTCTATTTCAAAGTCAATGCTCCAATTATGTATACCATCCATATCGGCTTCCAAATTGAGATGTGATAAGGAACTGTCGATACATTGATAGAGTATAGAGTCGTCAGCGAAAAGTGCAATTGTCGAGTCATTCTCTACATAGTTAGGCATATCGTTAGCATAGACAAGGAAAAGCAGGAGTCCCAGAATAGATCCTTGCGGAACGCCAGATGTTACAGGTAGCCAAGATGAAAATGAGCCGTTAATTACCACACGTTGCATTCTATTAGATAAGTACGACCTGAACCAATTCAAAAGGGACCCTGTTATTCCATAGACTTCAAGCCTTGACAGTAGACGCAGATGAGAGACTTTATCAAAGGCCTTGTAAAGGTCCAAGTGGACGACATGAACTTCGTTGCCACTAGCTAGCTTACCCAAGATGTCGTTGTAAACCTCTAAAAATTGAGTGACTGTACTTTTTCCCTTGAAAAATCCGTGCTGGAGATGGTATAATGACTTCTCGAGCTGTAAAAGGCAATGGCTGTAAACACAACGTTCAAGGACCTTGGACAACATTGCAAGAAGGGAAACAGGTCTGTAGTTGTCAGGGAGAGTTGCGTCCTGTTTCTGTTTAAAGACTGGAGTTATGTTTGCTCGTTTCCACAAATTCGGGAATATGCCCAGTGATAGAGATGCATTGAACAGCTGACATAAAGATGGAGCAATCTCGCACGCTGTGTTTTTTAATAAGGCTCCAGGGATGTTGTCTGGCCCATTTGCCTTACTAGGATCAATATTTCAAAGAGCTTTCACCACCTCCTTAGCCCTCAAGTGGATGTGGCACAGCTCTTCGTCTACTTGAGTTGTAGATGGAGCAATAGTAGAATGGTTATTATTAGATGATAGGAAGAAACAATGGGTGTTTAAGGGTTTCAACAACCCAATGGCACCTTATACCTAAACATGGGTCAAGTGCCCCTTCCCCTTAGCTCTGGACAAAAATGCAAAGAAGACTACCAAAGTTAGCAACTGCAGATTTTGGGTCCCTAACATTTAAATGTGAACTTTTCAAAACAATATCAAACAAGATGCCTAGTGCTCAAAAATTTGCTATGATGACAATTATTCATGCTCTTTCCATGTTAGGCATCCATTAGTGTGGGGCAGTGGTTACGTCGATGTCCTGGTTTTTTGCATTTTCTGCAAGTTTAGGTCATTTTCTTTGCTGGAGATTCTTTTTCAGCAAGTTTATTTTGTGAAGACTGCATGGAATCTTGTTCAGCAACTAATTAAATAAAAAGTAAAAAATAATAACAAGAAAGGTGTCTGTATCCTCATGAGTTGTAATTTTGCAACAAATAATACGTTCTTTTTTTTTGCTAGTTCTGCCACCAAATAATCTTGGCAATAATTAATCAAATATAAGCTGGCAATGCAGATTGCTTTAACCCTCACATCGCAATGCTAACTGAATGTCAAGCAAATAAAATCAGAGCAAATATTTCCAACAAGTAATGATCACTACACAAGTTCCACAGTCGGTGAAGGAGAACAACTGTGTTGTTTAAGACCTCTCTGACCACCTGATAAAAATTATAAATTTGTGTACAGATTATTAAATAAGAGCGGTAATATCAAGATCGATCGAATTCATCAAAGTAAACATGATCAGTAGACATGTCGATTGCCATTAATTATAAATTATTCGATTATAACTTACCCTCCTCCGTCCTCGATCTGTCCCTTCTGGGCCATTCTCTTGCCTGAATGTGCCCTCGATCGTTGGGAATGCTCCCCTCTCAAGCCTTCGAACGCTCGGCTGATCTCTAATGCTTATATTTCGACAAAAGCTGTCTGGCGTCTGGCGCGAAATGCACAGAACACAACACTGAGGTCTTCGATGGCTTAAAACCTGGCTGATGTTTATGGACGAAATTCGTTCATTTCATTCTTAAAATTTTATTAGAAGGAAAAAGATGCATTGATATTCCCGGGGTTTGACTTGAATTCGTGCAGCTGACTAACCCAGGGCCACCAGCTACACACGATTTCCCAGGGACTCTTTGAGTTCACTTATCCGCTATGTTCCCGGGCGCAATCTACACAACTGATGACGTCACAGAGGAATTTTGGCCGCGCGGGAATTGTCGCACATTTTTGGGAAAAATCCTCAACTTTAAGCCGGCGGGAAAACTACTAAAGCGCTTCCATCAAGGTTCTAGTACCAGAATTTGATCGAGTAATACCTAAATTTTAATAATGAGAAATAAAAATGAGGGGGGAAATTTCGAGTCATGTGCACTTTAACATATTTATTTTAAATGTTTGCCAATTGGAATATCTCTCGTTTAGTTAATTATCTTTTCTTTCAATGTGAATTTCATCAAATAATTACAGAAACTTCTGAATTTGATTGCTCATATTGATCTTCCTTGTTTCATTTCTGTTTTATCAATCGTCTTGGGTTTACTTTTCATGTTTACTGGCTAGAATTGAAAATAAACAAAGTTGTGCAATTTCGCGTGGTTGATGACATTGTTAATTAGTAATGACATCTTTTGTTTGACGTATGTTGGGCCGTCCACTGTGAAACAGACGTTTTTTGTCTTGTTGGATTTAGTTTCTTGTTTATTGAGACGTTAAGAGCAACATTGTTAGTTTTAGCTTCTCTTTCAAAGAAGTAGCCTTCGTATTGTTATCTT